GTGGATATTCATACACCGCCACTACACGGTTCATGTAGTTTTTGTATAAAATATTGTTGACAGATGGGCAGCCGCGTCTTTCTAATAACTACTAAAAACAAAAGACTGCGGTTTCGAAATTCGTCCGCCAAGCGTGCCGAGTAACAAATATCCAACAATATTTTATCCATCAATATTTGTTTATCTTTTGTAAGAAGATACAAAATTTAAATAAATGCGCGTGTAAGTTTATATTTATATGGTTTATATTTTATATATACACATAAATAAAATTGAAGCGTCTTTTTGGGGGATGAGTCGCTCGAGGGGGATGAGTCGCTCGCGTCCGTAGGCTCCGACCACCTAACCTTAGGCCCACCCTACACGTGTCCCCCGGGTGGTGCTAAACGAGCGACAAAGCCGAAAAAATAGACTCGGCTCCTCGCCGTATGGTAGCGGCGTAAAATCTACCACCACCCCTTGTTCGAATGACTCAGGAAATAAAAGAAATGGCCCCGAGTTCCCGGCGCCCCTTAAATGGGGCAGGGGTGCGAAGAATCTCCGGGAGAAAAACCGGCGACGAGGTTCGCCACCCGTCACGTTCTGTCTCCCGGAGGGGCGAAAAAGTGGATTGCGGAAACCCGTCTGGCTACGCTGAATGTATGTGGAGGAATGAATGATAAGATGGATGAAGTATGCGAAATGATGAATGACAGAGGAATAGATGTGTTATGTGTGAATGAGACGAAACGAAAGGGAAAGGATGCCACTGCACATGGCACGTATACCGCGTATTGGTCTGGTGTAGGCGAGACCGAACGGGCGTGCCAGGGAGTCGGTTTCATCCTTTCAGAAAGAATGGGTCAATGTGTGAAAGAGTATGAATGTGTAAGCCCGAGACTGCTATGGATACGAATGAAAGTGGGCTTACAGAAGCTGTTCCTGCTAGGGGTGTACGCCCCAGACATGTCTAAGCCCGCTTACATTCGAGAGCAGTTTTGGGACATGGTAAGGATGGTGTTGACAAAATGCAAGGAAAATGAAAATATTATTATGTTAGGAGACTTTAATGGAAGGGTTGGGGTGAAGAGGTCTGGTTATGAAAGGATATTGGGAACGTTTGGTGATGAAAGTATAAATGAGAATGGTGAAGACCTCCTCACCGTATGTGCGGAAAAGAATCTTTTTGTGACGAATACTTTTTTCGTCATAAGAAGATTCACATGTATACATGGGAAAGAGGTGATGATAGAAGCATGATAGATTTCGTAATTGTGGATGAAAGAATGAGGAGCGCAGTCGTAGATACAAGGGTTTACCGGGGGTCCAACGTAGGGACGGATCATTACTTGGTCTTATGTCGAATTAATGGTCTTTTCAAGCGTTGGCGGCATCGGACATCTGTGTCTACCACTGCGTTACAGCGTATAAGAATAGAGAAGTTACAAGAAGAAGATGTGAAAGAGAAGTATAAATGTAGACTGAGAGAAAATATTAGATGTTTGAATGAGTTGTGTATGAATGATTTAGACTTGAAGACTGTGTGGGATAATATTAAGAAAGGTTTGGTGGATACCGCCACCGAAGTATGTGGTGTAAGTAAAAGAACAAATGAAAGGAAAAGTAATACGTTGTGGTGGGATGATGAGGTACGGGTGGAAGTTGAATCAAAGAAGAAAGCATGGTTAGATTTACTAGCAACCAAAGCTGGTAATTCTTCTGGTATGAATGATGAGATTGAAAGAAAAAAGGCAGAATTTAGACGTCTAAATAAGAGAGTAAAAGAAGTTGTTGAAAGGAAAAAGAAAGAAAGAATGGATAAGAATGATAGAAGGATATCTGATAATTTCCAGGCTAACATAAAAATGTTCTGGAAACTCGTAAGAACTGCCAGGGGAAATATAAAACAGCCTATAATAAATGCTATAAGAGACGAGAATGGATGTATTCTGAATGATGAAGTTTCGAATTTAAACAGATGGAAGGAATACTTTGAAAGCGTGTTTATGAGTGAAGAGTCGTATGAATTAAATGAACTAGAAATTCCGAAAGAAGTGGAAAGGGGTATGGAGATAAGTGTAGATGAAATAATGAAAGCAATGAAAAGCATGAAAGCAGGTAAGGCAGCTGGATATGATAGAGTATCACTCGAGATGCTAAGGGCTGGAGAGGGAGTGGTGGCAGGCCTGCTGTACACCTTGTTTAATTTATGTTGGGAATTAAAACGGGTACCGGATGACTGGTGTAAAGCAGTTATAGTACCAATATATAAAGGAAAAGGGTCACAGCAGGACTGCAAAAACTACCGTGGTATCAGCTTGCTTAGTATTGTGGGTAAACTGTATGCTAAGGTGTTAATTGAAAGAGTTATGAAAGAAACTGATGGAAAAATTTGGGATGTGCAAGCGGGTTTTAGAAAGGGAATGGGGTGCACAGATCAAGTCTTTTCCATGCGCATGATTGCGGAGAAGTTTTTGGCCAAAAACCAGAAAGTTTTTTGTGCGTTCATGGACTTGGAAAAGGCTTATGACAGAGTGGACAGGAATGTGTTATGGCAAACACTGAACTCATATGGGTTGAGCGCTGGTTTGATACAGGCATTAGGGTCTCTTTATAGGGACTCTAGTGCTTGTGTCAGGATCAATGGGGTCTACTCGGACTGGTTTGGCATCCAAAAAGGTGTCAGACAGGGCTGTGTAGCTTCCCCTTGGCTGTTCAACCTATTTATGGACCGGTGTTTGCAAACTTTGAAAGATGAAGAATGTGGTTTAAGAATGGGCGAGTTAACCATCAAATGCCTTTTGTATGCCGATGATCAAGTCATATTTGCGTCATCGGCGGCTGAGTTGCAAATGATGGTTACATTAATGAACTGGGAATTAAAAGAAAGGGGAATGAAAGTGAACGCAAGTAAGACGAAAGTGATGGTTTTTGAAAGAGAAGAAAGCAAAACGGTATGTGAAATAAGAATAGAAGGAGAGTTAATTGAGCAAGTGGATGAGTTTGTGTATTTGGGATGTGTATTTAGCAGGGATGGTAGATATGATAGGGATATAGAACGACGAGTAAATGCAGGGAATAGAGTGAATGGGGCACTACACTCTATTATGAAGAACCAGAATGTGTCAAAACAGGCACGTATGGTAATTCATAATGCTGTGTTAGTCCCTACGTTAATGTATGGTAGTGAAAGCTGGGTGTGGCAGAAGAAGCACGAAAGTAGAATAAATGCTGTAGAAATGCGTTCTTTAAGAAATATGCTAGGGTTTAATCTGAATGACAGGGTGAGAAATTGCGTGATAAGAGATAAATGTGGTATGCAAGATGATGTTATGACCAGGATTAAGAAAGGAATGCTTCGGTGGTTTGGTCACGTAGAAAGAATGAATGATGAAAGAGTGACAAAGCAAATTTATATGGCAGATGTGAACGGCCGAGTCGGGAAGGGACGCCCTAGAAAAAAGTTTGTCGACCAAATTGGCGATATTTTGAAAATGGGCCACGTTAGAAGTACCCTTAACCGACGAGCATGTATGCGTAGATATATGGATGTAAAGGAGGCGAAAGAGGTATGTCAGGATCGTGCCAAATGGAAGTCCGTAATCTCTGCCTACCCCTCTGGGTGACAGGCGTGAGTGTTTATATATATATATATATATATATATATATATATATATAAGTATATTACTTATAGTAATTAAAACTTTTGTCTATCTGTTTCTTTGCTCCGGCTAATCTCTGAAATGACTTGACTGATTTTAACAGAACTTTAACTTATAGATAGTTATAGATAGTTGATGTTATAGAGTAACTAAGGCTATTTTCACTTTCGAGAAAGAATTAGGGTTTCTCGTAAAAAATTAAGCCCATGAGATCCAATCGTAATAAATTCTACAGGGACGAATTCGCGGGGAACAGTTAGTTTCATTAAGAAATTTGTATACGCAGTGTTTTCGCTGCTCTAAGCTAAAAGCTCTAAGCTTGACTCACAAATAATGCTTTTAGCATTAAGTCCGCCTTTCGATCCTTTGCTGTTTTTGTGAGGCTCAGTATACATTAAATAACTAACTTTAGCTAAATATAATAAAATAATTTCACAAATTGTGAGAATATTTTAGTTATTTGTAGTTGCTTTAAGTCTGCTTTACTTTTTTAAACGAATTTAAAAATGAGAAGACACTCAATTCGACTGTTTTATATGAGTGTTACCTCAAAACTTTTTTCTAGGTGAACCTATTTTAATGATTCTTTTTTTATTTGAATGCAAATACTTTTCATATGATCCCATATAAATTTTATCAAGATCTAACGAGTAGTTTTTGAGTTATCTTAAATGATGCGTATTTAATTGACGTCAACTACATTGATGATGTTCTAATTTTATTTATATCGGAGTCGGTTGTACCATTACTTTTAATTTTACCACTTGTTTGTATTTTTATTTATTTTTTATCCTTTACAATGGACTAGTGAATATCGTAATCTCAATGTTGTCTAAATAGTTGAATTAAAAACTTTAACCCATAAATTTGCGCCCTTTAGGGGTATAATTAACGCACTTTGAGAAAGTAGTTCAGAATCGTTTACTGAATAGATTCCTATCATTTTTAATATAGGTAATTTTTTATCCCAAAAATAATTAAGACTACGTAAATTACAGTTCCACTAAATCTGTACAGTCAAAACAAACTGAAATGGAACGTAACCTAAGACAATAAGACTTATAAGAGTGCAGTTTTATTTGTATTATTACTAATTCTGTCATTCAATAAAAATAAAGAAAAATTTTGGTGAAAATTGGGGTGTCTGAGGGTGTGCGTTAATTACGTTACATATTGTATATGGAACCGCTGTTGAAGTTAAACTTATTAAAAAAAAAGAAAAAGAAAACATACAAAAACATACAATTGAATTGTTAACCTCCTCATTTTTTAAAGTCGGCTAAAAGTGTAGTCTTAAATAAAATAAATAAATATTACGTTAAAATTAATAACTTGTGACAGAGCTTTGTGTTCCGAGTGATGCAGCATCCGCTGGTGCCAGAGTTCGAGCAGTGTGTGTCGTTCGGCGCGTTCTCCAACATGGCTCACGAGATAGCGTACAACGTGGCTTGTCTGTGCGCGATGTACTTCGTGCCTCTACTGATCATCTCCGCGTGTTACATCTGCATCTTCTGCAGGATTCGACGCTGCAGCAATGAGCTGGATGGTAATTTCATTTTTTTCTCGCTTTCAGGTGTGTCTATTCATAGCAATTGATTTTAAACTAACTTCCCGATGAGTTAGCGAATCGAAAGTTTGAAAATTTACAGAATTGGATGACAATGCATGAATAAAAACACGGTAGTGAGGAATTAAACATTATCAAGTTATGTTTTCAAGTATCTACACTCATAAAAAAATTAGAGGGAAGCAAAAAAAAAAGGTTTAATTTCTCCTGTCGTAATTATCATCTGTACTGGTCAAATATATAGATTACAATATTAATATTAGTTTTGTCGTATTTAACGGGAATACCGATAAATTAACAATTAAAATATGAATATCACGATAACCTTAACAAAATAAAAGTGATAGTCTAGTAGTTTTTACCGGTTTTATAAGTTTAAATAGAGTACTGTTCAATAATAATAACATACCCATTTATGATTTTAAACGCTAATAAATAAATAGCACGATAATGATTTGAAAGGATTGTGTTTGTAAAAAAAACAATGTATCACTGTTATTATTATATATTTAGCACTAGACAAGTGTTGTGTGGGAACTTTGTTTAAATATGTATCGATTGATTGTTTATCGTACATCACTTAAATGGTGTTTCATTTAAGTCTAGTAATGTTATCAGTGGTAAGTAATAAACAAGACATTTTAAATTGATTGTATGAGAAAGAAAAACAATGTTGAATGTAACTGTATTCATATATGTATCAATCATCGTCACAAAGCAGCACAGACAGGCGCAGTGTGTGAACTTTGTTTTAAAATGTAGACTATATGTAATTAATAATTACACCCCAAAACACCATAAAAGCGAAAATGACCAGCTAATGATATGTTATATAGTAAGAAAGACAGATGTTTTAAATTGTATTTATTATAGTTAATCATTATATTAAAAGATTTTTTTTCTGAAGCACAGAGAGGCAAGAACAGTGAGGGGAGGATATAAATTCTATACATTCCCTGTTTATGATTTTGTTATGAATCAGAAGAAAATTTTCAACGATGAGAGAAGTGAGATAAGACCGCTGTCTTAATTATCCATAGACAGTATTCTCATATTTCTGTTATTATTTTGTTTCTGTTTTGAACAGCTCTGCAAGCTTACAGTGTGTATGACATATACATTTATTCTGAGCGATCCAACTGAAATAAAGTTAATGAATATTGTTAAGAGTATCCATACTAAATAATAATTCTTATCAATATATTTTTTTACTTATTGCAATCTAAATAGCGCGTGGGGACTATGTTTATGTATGTATAATAATTAATCAGTAAATTAAATTTTCAAACACCATTAAAGCGAAAAAAATAAGACCATTTATGATATTGTTAAAAAATCTGAACGAAATTTTCAATTAAAAGTAATATGACTGCTCTTTTCAATGTTTATAAATTGTATTTACATATTTCTTTTATAATTTTGTTATCTGTTATAATTTTGTCGTCTAGATATACAAATAAAGAAGTAGTTATTATGGTTCTGCAAACTACACTATTTGACTAAGTACAAGTTAACTGACTATTTATTTTCACTGGTTTCATTACGAATTAAAATATTTTAGTACCTTTTAGTAGATGATCACTTTTTGGGTGCTTTGAAAATTGAAAAACCACATGGAAAACAAATATTCCTGTGCCATATATTTTTATGTAATTAGTACCACTAAATAAGTATTTTCTTGTAATTTTTAATAGAATCAAAAGGTTAATAAGTAGAGTATAATACAAAAGTAAAAAAATATCAAATTATTCGTATTTCTTAAGACAAAATGGATCAAAAGTACTCACCTCGCGAGATATCCACATGTAAGTTGGTGCTTGTGCTTGGGGCACATTTGTAGTTACTCGGAAAGCGCACATTGCGTTGTAATAATATTGCATAATTAACTATTTGGAGTATATGCTTTCGTACATTTAGTATTTAGAGATTAAATTATTTAATCACGAGAAAACAGAAAAACAACGTTACGTTGTTAAAAACAATATAAAGAATAATATATAATGGTAGTGTTATTAGTTTTACGAGAATAGATGAGTAGCGATAAAATAATCGGTGCCTCGTTGGTATCGATACTTTGTTTCGATGTGAAGTTCTTTTTAAAAGATTGCTTGTGTTCCTATACTATGTTAGGACTAACACTTTCATTTGTTTTCCATACTTTTCATATGATTATAAAAGTATTCATATCATTTTATCGTAAGGTGGCAGAGAATATTCGAGTTATAACTTATATATAAATACTCCAGATATATAACTTATATATAATTATTCTGGTTGTAAATGTATTTATCTAGCAAGAGATTCTGTGTCTCCATTTTGTACCGTTAGTAGCGTAAGAGTTGACTATACGTAATGAATGACTGACAAATGTTTTTGATAATTCTGGCATTTCCATTGGTCATGTATTCCGATAGATGGCAGTATAACCTCTTCCTTATACGTCACACTTAAAATTCTCACACCGTTGACGATGTGAGATTTCTTCACCTCTTGATTATTGTTAATCCGAATGCCAAACGTAGCGATTAAGACAAACTCTCCCTACAACAGGAGAGTCCTATGATATTAACGGACTGACGACGAAGAATAGGGCTTAGATTCTCTTGCCAGGTCTTTGGGAGAAAAGTCACAAAAAATAAATTTCTGGCAACTGGTTTCCGTTTAAATAAATTGTTGTTCAGTATATTATGTTATGAAGAAAATTATTGGAATTGTAAATTATCTTAGTTTATCCATTTTGATCTAATTAATAAAAATATACTTAGCTAATATATCAGAAAGAAACGTTAATCTCTACACTTTTCTGACAAATTAACTTCCCTCGTTTCTAAGTGGCTCCACAATCATGGCAGAAAAAGTCAGAAAAAGAAAAAATATTAGCGGAAAAAGTCGTGGTCGTTATTATAAAAATTACTGGGATACCTAGGAAACCTAATATTTATATGGTACTGGTGTCGCGTACAATATCGATATTATATTTCGATAGCGTATTTTAATTTTTTATTAGTAGGATTTTTTATGTTTAGTTTCATGAAGACTAGCATGATGTTTTACGATATTAGCTAATAATTTTATAATTACTCAAAACCTTAAAACTATTACTTAAAATTAAAATTACTAAAAACCTTTTATATACTAAATACAGAAGTAAAATATTTTTTTTTAATTTTTTAATTTAAACTTCAAACAGGCTTCATCACACGAATTTTATTTTCATTCATACTTTGATCAGACCATGTTTATGAATATATTCAAATTTTAGTAAGATTTTATTATTACGTAAATCTCTAATAACTTTACTTGATCAATTTGAATAAACTTGGTGGCGTTCGAAAGGGTTTCATCAAACATAGATTTTTAATACTGTTTCGAAAACTTTGGAGAAATTTCAAAAGTAAAATTTTCAAAAAAATCTTATTTTGGAATTACTTTCAAAAATATACAATGATACAATTCCAAAATATAATCTGCTCTTAAACGTAAAGAAACAACGTCGATTGCTGCAAACCGCTTCAAAATCATCGATGACGAAAAATTTCCAAAAAAAGTGTTCTTTTCACATAACTTTTGAATTTTTAGTCTAATTTCTTTTAAAAACAAATTTTATTATTGTTCTTAAAATAATTCTTATAATATATAAAATAATTTCAAAATAGGTGTTTTTTTAATAACTTTTAAATTTCTGCTCGGATCGTTTTTGATGTAATGAGTTAACTATTAGTTTGTAAAAATATTTGTCGAGCCTTTTGAGATCGAATATATATCGATATATATTCGATATATATCGGATAGCGGGATGTTCCAGGGATGGTCTGCAGAGCCAACAGATTTTTTTATGTGGAATACCAATAATAACCATTACTACTTGTAGTGTTCACAAAAAGAATTGTCTCCTTTCATTTAGTTGTACATAATTATTACGTAATCTTTTGTTCTATCATACTGTGAAACATTTTGTCAACTTTTGCATTTGAGTTTGAATTTAGGTTTCTTTAAGTTATTGCCTCGACTGGCTTGTTTATCGTGTTCTTGTTACTAAAAATAAACAGAGAATGCTAGATCTAACCGCCACTCAAGTTACTTTAACTTGAGTGGCAGTTAGATCTAGAATTCTTTCATGAAACTAGGTACACCTAAAAATATATTATTGTTACGCGCTCAAATCGACGATACACTAGCGCCATCTAGTGTCAGGAACGAGAGTGAGGGGAGCATTGAGAAAATGACATCACAAATCACTCAACCGACAGCGCCTAGTCGAAACTCGAACGCTCGGTACCTTGCGCGTGTTTACTTGAACATTCTGGATATTTCTTTGCTAATTTAAATATATAGGCGCTGCAAGATGCGAGGGAGGTAGTGTTGATTTGGCGAAACAAGCGAAGCTTCGGAGCGGAATAAAGTGAATAAGTGTGTTTAATTATTAGTGTTTTTAAACTTTAATTTGTGTAAAGTAAATTAAAGTGTTAATTTAGGTAATTTTATCGGCAATTTTTATTGTCACGTACCTCAAGCTCGTAACATTATGTTAAAGTATGGAGACGCCTGAAAGTGAGATACGTTCAGTGAAACATCATTGGAAAAGAGGCAGATGGTGAAGCGACAATAATTCCGCATTATTCAAAATGGGTCACTAACAACGACACGACATGTAACTGAGATTTTGGAAAAAATTATAGTGCCATTTGCCCCTTTACAGGAAATATATTTGCTTTTTTGCATGATAATGCACGCCAACATATTGCAGCCATAGTAGTCGAATACCTTCGAGACGTTGAAATGAATGCAATGTCGGCGAGTTCGCTCAACTTAAACCTCAAAGAGCATGTATGGAATAAACTTTGAAGACAAATTAAGAAAGAAATCCTCCGTGAATTTGAAAGATCTTAAAGACAGGAAAAATAGAACATAATATCTCCAGTGTGCCAAAGAAACTGGAAGCACAAAGAACTTATTATACCTTATAGCGTTTAAAAAAT